AAAAGGATAAGGAACGAAAAGAGAAAGAAAAAGAGAAAAAGAAGGGGATCATATGAATGAAAGAGAAGAGAAAATGAAGAAAACCACACTCACGTACCCTTTTCTCGGCCAGATGATTCATTCCCTTAGCTATTCCCAACGCAAACTTGATTTTCTCCATGCAAGGTATCCCAACGTTTGCTGCGCTATCGATGTCGTCCTCGTATTCATGGAAGTCCTCAGGACGATGGGATTGAAGATAATTGATAAGGGAACCATTCTCAGCCAATCTTAGGATAAGCCACAGAGGACCTGTGGGAAAGGTAGTGTTTATTTAATTACGATTACGTGACATCTAGATTAATAATTACGCGGGAGTGTGATTTGTAATTGCAAGTTTGATTTCAGACCAAAATTGCACGACACGAAGTTCAATTACCACTTAATCATATTCTTTTTGTAATCATGCATAAGAAAAAGGCACAATAAAGAGCGCAGAATAATCAGTTTAACGTAGTAGAAGAACTAAAGGCGAACAAAAAAAAACATCTAAAAAAACTTTTTTTGTTGTTGTTTTATTTYATTGTTTAAAATTTTTTTTTAGAATGCGATTAAGAGCTCCTAAGGATGCGATTTGGGAATTAATCGCACTCCTTTGAACCAATCAGATTGCAGGATTTGGTAATGATTACAAAAAGGATGTGATTAATACAAATTATCGACTGGGAATTGAAATAGGCCTATTTACCTTGGGTGCCAAAAAACGTTTTCCCATTTCAGACCACGTGTCATTCCCTAGAGTATCATTTCTTTGTTTTGCGGTTGTGCACGAGAAGACACATGAATATGGATACGACTCGAACAAAGAATCTTATTATCGAAATATTGGTATGTGGTCTGAAATGGGAAAACATTACACCCGAGACAAAGAGATTTATCCTATTCAGTGTTATGCCTTTCTTTCTTTCCCCCCAAAAAACTTAGCTCAAACTACTGATTAGGAATATGGATGACACCACCATCCCTACCCCCCCTCGGGATCTTGATTCACTTACCGTCAATAGAACAGGCTCCAATCAGATGTACAATATTAGGGTGTTCGCCTACACTCGCCATAATATTCAGCTCGTTCACCAAGTCACGTAGTTCAATTTGTGTCGCTTGTGCTGAAATCAAATAGGAAGGTCTAAGTTTGTACGAGACATACGACATGTTTGAATGAGACATGCGACCTAAGACATGTTTGTACGAGACATACGACATGTTTGTACGAGGAATACATGTTTTTTAGTCTCCCACACAGGGGAGAAAGCGTTGCGTGACTACACTGAAAGCGGCTGTGAGGGAGACAACATGTTTGGTACGAGAGATACGACATTTGTACGAGAAATACAAATACGACATGCTTGAACGAGACATACGACATACTGCATCTTTGTACAAGAGATACGACATGTTTATGCGAGGCACTGCTGGCCAACCTGTAGTCTATTAATATCGTGTAGAAGACAATATATAAAGGTCTATGCACGTGACGTGTATGTTCACTCCATTAGGCCCTTTGCAGTTAACGGTCACGTGCAAGGACGGATCCAGGGTTTTTTGAAGGGGGGTCTCAGGGGTAAATTTTGTGGGCAAAGGAATCCCAGTCGCATTTTTACCACAAGAAGCCCATTTGACCTCAGGAATGACAGGGGGGTCGCGACCCCCTCGACCCTCCCCCTGGATCCGTTCTTGACGTGTCTGTACAGTAGAGCACAATTTTTGTTTTTATATTAAATTGGTGATTCTTTTTAGCTACTTGTAAAGAACTGAATGAAAACATGTGTATCCAGTGTGTTACGAAATGCAGTTTTATTACGATCTCTCGAAACAGGTTGTAGAAAGTTTGTTTTCAGTCCAGTAAATTTAACCCATGGGAATCAAGATGTTCATTCATTTGCTCTCAGCGAATTAATCAGCACGTGATTACTGAGTTGCAAAGGGCCTATTGGAATACAGGATTATGGAGTATTCACGAATTTTGTGAGTACCTTTCAGCATCTTGATGGCACAGTATGAGGACTTCTCTTCACTTATCAACTTTCCTTTCTTCACCTCACCAAATGCACCAGACCCAAGTTCGCCAATGAACTCCACACAATCTCGAGGAATCTCCTTCCATTTTTTGGCGAATAATTCGTTTTCAAGTCCAACTATTGTTTCTGGACTAAAATGAAGATATTCTGTCATTTCCATTGCTTTTATCTTTGCTAAGTCGTTTCTGTTTATCTGATAGGAAAGAATTAATGATGAGTAAAGAAGAGAAAAAGAAGGCAAGATTTCGAGACAGAACTCGGCGACTGTGATGATGGTGATGATAGACGTTGATGATGATGATAGTAATGATGATGGTGATGATAATGGATAAAGACGGGGATGACGGCGATCGTCATGTTGATGGGGATGATAATAGTGATGGTAATGATGATGATGGCGATGATAATGAATGAAGACGGTGATGATGGCGATCGTCATGTTGATGGTGATGATGGTGGTTATGATGATGATGGTGATGGTAATGATGATGATGGTGGTGATAATGATGATGGTGATGATAATGAAAATAACGATGATCATGATTTGATGATGATTATGCTGGTAAGAATGCAGATTTATTTAAAAATAAATTAAATCTGTAGTTTTTTAAGACTAGACAAGGATGATCGCCAAGATGAACAATCTTAGTAGAAGTGATTACTGATTAAAGAAAGAAAAAAAAAAAAAAAAAAAAAAAAAAAAAAAAAAAAAAAAAAAAACCATAAAGCGAAAAAAAAGTTTCATACCTGCTCCAAGGCTAGCTGTTCTTCTATCTGTAATCGCTTACGTCTCTGTCTCCAGCAAACCAGGAAACCAATTATCAGAACCACTAGCAAAACGACTGGAATAACTACACTGATCACTATTATCGCAGTCATGTCAGCTGAATGTGCGGGAAAAGATATTGTCAATGATAAATAACTAGTTGAATGTGATGGATGGATGGATAATGATGAAAATATAGGGATGGATGGATAATGATGATTGATGGATGGTGATGACGGATGGATAATGATGATTGATTGATGGATAATAATGATGATGATGGATGAATAATGATGATTGATGGATGATGATGATGATGGATAATGATGATTGATGGATGGTGATGACGGATGGATAATGATGATTGATGGATGGATAATAATGATTGATTGATTGATGGATGATGGTGATTGGATGATGATTGATTGATGGATAATGATGATTGATTGATGGATAATAATGATGATTGATTGATGGATAATAATGATGATGATGATGGATGGATAATGATGATTGATGGATGATGATGATTGATGGATGATGATGATTGATGGATGATGATGATTGATTGATAATGATGATGATGGATGGATAATGATGATTGATGGATGATGATTGATGGATGATGATGATTGATGGATAATGATGATTGATGGATAATAATGATGATGATGGATGGATAATGATGATTGATGGATGATGATGATTGATGGATAATGATGATTGATTGATGGATAATAATGATGATGATTGATGGATAATGATGACGATGGATAATGATGATGGATGGATAATGATGACGATGGATAATGATGATGGATGGATTATGATGATGATTGATGGATGATGATGACGATGGATAATGATGATGGATGGATAATGATGACTGATGGATAATGATGATGGATGGATAATGATGATGATGATTGATGGATGATGATGATGATGGATGGATAATGATGATTGATGAATGATGATGATTGACGGATAATGATTGATTGATAATGATGATGATGATGGATGGATAATGATGATTGATGGATGATGATGATTGATGGATAATGATGATTGATTGATGGATAATAATGATGATGATGGATGGATAATGATGACGATGGATAATGATGATGGATGGATAATGATGATGGATAATGATGATGGATGGATAATGATGATGATGATTGATGGATGATGATAGTGATGCATGCTAAGATGTTGTAGATGATGACGATGATTATAGTTGTATGGATTATGAGGGATGGATAGATGAATAACAATGTAGAGCTAACTAAAACAAGCAACAGACATCTAACCATCTCTTTACCTTTTGTTTTCACAGATATTATTTCACTTCCCATCTCCCCATACTCATTACGTGCAGCTACCATCACTTCATAGTCAGTATCTGGCTGGAGATCTTCAACCTTTCCTGTGTACTGATTGGCTACTGGCCCCCGTACCCACTGCATTCTGCCGACCTTTCTCTGTTGCAGTCTGTACCCAGTGATACTATACACTTGGTGATACTTGGGAGGTTCCCATGACAAAGACACACTAGTTGCTTTGATTTCTACGCTTTTCAGGTTCAGTGGAGAAGGCGGTGACTCTGAACCAAAAGGAAAAAAAAAATTCTTGCACTATATCTCAAGTTGAACGTCGAAGTTAACTTGAGCCCAGATTAATTGAAACAATAGTTAACAAGGCATTCGTCTTTGATGTAGTTAGGTTCGGCTCATGTGAAGTTCGATGTCTGACATGAGACTGAGTTCACGTTATTCCTCAACCAATGAGAAGCCAAGAAAACGTTTGAATGGTTTCCCGGCATTTGTCATATTGCCATCCAATGAAATCTCTTCTTAAATTGAGCAGTTGTGTCAAAATGAACATCAGAAATGAAAAGAGCACCTAGATATTAGTAAGATGGCAAAGTTTTATCTCACAATGTCAGCTATAGGAGAGATTTCATTGGATGGCAACACGACAAATGCCGGGAAGCCATTCAAACGTTTTCTTGGCTTCTCATTGGTYGAGGAATACATTCTTGTTGCTGATTGGTTATCATTTTTCGGGTGAGAATTTCCTTTGATAGGAAACCGATTGAACGACGTCTCTTTGCGAATGAGAATTTTATATGAAAAAACTTTATTCAGAATTTTCTGCGACAAACATTGGAAGATTTCATTTAGTACCTTTAAAGCTGAAGTTTGCTATGGCTATTCCATTTAGGGTTTTTTGTTCTGGGCTGTAGAGGTTTTCGTTTAGTATATTTTGTATTGAAGTGGAAGCGAACTCTTTGTTTTTTGAATCATTGAGGGATGAAATGACTTCCATGTCGGCGAAAACACTGCCATTCCTGGTGAACGAGAAAACAGAAAATAAATAAGTAAATGAGTGAGTCGATGAATGGATCGATGCATGGATCGATAGATGGAGGGAGGGAGAGAGGGAGGGAGGGAGGGAGGAAAGGAGGTGGGTAGGGAGGGAGGGAGGGAGGAAGGGAGGCATGCATGCATGCATGATTGCTTGGATAGAAGAAATACATGCATGGAATGGGTGGGTGGCAACATTGATGGAAAGATAGACTAATGGATGGATTTATGATTGAAACTTGCAAAAAGCTGGCCTAAATTTGGGAAACATTACGCCCATCTTAAATATATCAATCGGGAAGCGACGTAGAAGCCCCTCAAAAATTGAATACGATGAGCTTTAATGTTTCGTACCTGAAGCCGGTCACGTCAACCTTCTTAACCTGGTATTTGTCACTTCTTTGAATAGAAAACAACTCCAAGACCTAGGGATAAAAAAGTGTATAAGACATTTTTTATCTGTTACACAAGATTTGAAAGCTTCCATGAAACCAAATTACTTTGCAATTTACTTATGTCATCCAACATGGCGGATAGTGATCACGTGTTACTTGTCCCACTAATTTCCAATCTTGGAGTCAAATAAAGGCAAAGAATGAACCTTTCTCAAAATTATCTTGAAAGCTAGACTAACATGAAAATGCGAAAGAAATCATTTTTCCTCAAATGGAATTTGTGGCATTTCTTTTGTATTATAGATAGATACACATTCAAGTAATTTTGAGAAAATCTTTTATATTAATCTTTAATTTTGGATGTAAATGTTTTTCATTTTTTGACCCCCAGGTCGAGTATATCTTGAATGAAACCAAAGGATCATTGATTGTTGACGTACTGGTTGATTTATTGTAGAGGAAAGGTTCCTCCAGCAGCAGTAAGGGGGACTCGCGATCGATGCCAAAGATATACGGGTTTAACTCGCGGATTTACGAAGACGGGTACAGCAGATTTACGGGTATTTGGTATCGCAAACGGAGGTAAAAA